ACGCCGCATATACGCATCACGTGTCACAATGTGCCTCGTTTTGGGTATGAGCACTGCTCCGACTTGCTGGTGCTTTGTTTGGCTAAAGGACAATGTGACTAGTCGAAAAGATGGTGGGGGCGCAGGGAAAGCGCAGAAAACAACAGGAAAAATTGCTTCTCCTTCTCTTAGTATGTCTGGTTCACTTCAGTTTTTACAACCATTAATCATGCATTTTCGTGCGCCGGTTTTGGCTGCTGTCTTTTGGTGTCCCATTTCGATAAAGGAGCAAAAGAGCGGAATGATGAAAGCAAACTCAAACGCAAAATGGAGAATTCATATAGACTGGTGTTAGGAGAATAGTAAGTAGATGCACGAGCGCTAATGTTTGCGACACCCAGCCATATCACTCAGTGTCTCTAACCATCCGTGACCATCATCTTGAGGTCCCCAGCCTGGGAGCCTAACAGGGCCTATATGACCTAGTCTCATGGTTAAGGTTTTCATGCCCTCATGTCAGGTCTTCGTTTCACTAACCATGACCTTTTTCCAATCGCTACCCGCCTCGGCAAACACCGCTCGCCGTGGCAACCCATCTAGTGACATGCGTGGCACATGTCCCAAACAGTGTAATTTATGAAGGTCGACTACTTGCTCCAGTGGACGACCGCGATTACCTAAAACTCTACGCCCAACCCCAGCATTACTCGTCCGGTTTTCCCACCAAACTCGTGCAATGCGACGTAGACAGCGGTGTTCGAACACTGCACTCTATCTTTATCCTGTTCCCGTAGTGGCCAAGTCTCTGCATCGTAGAGCAGAACTGGCCGAACGACTGCAGCATATACTCGACCCTTCACAAACAGCTGGATATCGCGACGGCGCCACAAGTGTCTGCAGTTGGCAAATGCCAACCGAGCCTTCTGTACGCGGGCCGACAGCATGCCTGGTTCATCCGCATTCTGTATTTTTTCTGAATAGTGCCCGCAGTGTTTTATTTCTATCTACTCCTTAAGTGATTCACCAAATTGGCAGCCGAGAAACGGCAGCTAAAACTGCCGAAAAGTTAATCTTTGTTGAAATAAAATTGAAAATCTCAAAGTGCGTGGCATGTTAATATGACGCTAATACAAACCAGTCGAGAAAGAAGATCGCTTGACACGGATATTTCTCGTGAGATACGGCCACACCCTGGAAGGCGGGAATACATGTCAAAGAAGCACAGTTCTGGGACTGAGCTACTTAGTGTAATATTGAAAACCAATTTTGTTACACAAATAGTGACCAAGTGATTTAATTTGCTATTACCGGAGTGTTTTGGGCATCAAGGTTCGAGGTCAAAACCCTACTATCACCGCCTGACTTTGGTGGGGGGTGAGGGCTCGTTGTATTACGGCTCAACATCATGTTTATCCTATGAAAAGCCTTGGGTGATTCGCCACTTCATGTCCTACAGCTCAGGTCGCCGGTACAGTATAAGTGAGCAATAGGTCCTAGGGACTACGAACTATACCTTACTGCTCATCACACAAGCGCGAGTAATGAGGATACGACAAACAGGACAGGAAGATGAGTAGCCCACACAGACATTAAAGAACAAACTCAGAAAATAACTGACTTTTCTTAGAAATAAAAAAGAAATAGACATATTCGTATTTTACTGAGCAAGCAGAATTGGTGTCGCGTGTATGCATGTGCGCATGGATGAATGTATTTGTACGAATGTGTATCTGTTTTCATATATATGTATTGCACATAAAAGCCGTTGTATGTCGCCCGTTCCAGCACACACACACACATAACAAATCAGACGCAGCAGTAAAAAGTTTCTGGACCACGATGCAACAAAACTGAGAAAACGGATAGGGNGGGGGGGGGGGAAACCGTACAATTAACTTGGGTTATTCCGCAGATTGGAGGACGGTGGGTAGCGATCAGGTGAAGCAGGGTAAAAGGAGGCCAAAGCATTTAAATGATTAAGAAGAGTGCTAACAGAAAGACAGTGAAGAAAGAAAGAAGTCTCGGTTCTTACCATTGACGAAAACATGAGAAAAATCACGATGCTGATTGAATCATTGAATGCATCACAAGCACTGAGCACGTCTACATCTTGGTCGAGGAGACCACCTGTACAGATGCAGGTTGTTTGGCATAGTGAATTGTAGGCAGACCGAGCGTGCCGGATTTGGGCTGCCCCGGTTGATCGCTGAGCGTGGTCTCGTTCGGATTGCGTTGGGCCGCAGCGGTCAGTTCGCGAAATCGTTTCATCACATCAACGAGCGCTCGATCCCGGCGTGCTACTGGTTCTTGTAGTCGCATGATCGGATGCCAACGGATATAATAGCCCGTCCAGAATTGTAGCTGAGCCAAGGAGTGTTGCGGAAAGATCACTCGATGCCCGCTAACTTCGGCCGGTGTATAGAGTGGATTCACATAGCTCTTGTAGTCCAGTGCAATGTGGGACCACAGGGAGACGGTACGTTCACGGACGCCGTGATCGCGCGCTTGCATTTCCGAATTGAACAGAAACGTGCCGAAACGGGCTGCGTACAGCTCGTCCATTATGGTGATGAGAAAACGCTCGTTGAACTCGAACGAATGTGGGAACTGTTGCATCATTTGCCACACACAGTCGATGAACTGCAAGAATACCGGTGAACGCTCATCCGGATTAGATGGTCGACCCACTGAGCCATTCGGCCCACTCGGACCAGAGGAAACGGGATTACCAGGCAGGACAACACCACCGTCAGCCGGACCGCCAGTTCGTTGAGCAAACTTGTGACCGAACGAGCACCATTCTTTCTCGATGAGGACTTCGAAACCGCGAAGTGTACGATAGAACGGGTCGAGCATAAGCATTGCCAACGATGTCACTTGCGCCGTTCGATCCCAGCCATCAGAGCAATGCACGAGAACGGAAGTTTTATGATTCTCAATCTGCACAAGAATGGGGAAATCGAGCGTTGATTGAATGGCATTTGAATCGCGTTCATCGCACAAATAAAGGCGCCAATCGAGGAAAACCCGTCATGATAAGAACTGAGAGAGACAGTGCAATAAGAAAACTTGTAAACAATTATTTATTTATTTATTATTTGAAGGGAATTTGCGAACCAGTGATTTTCACTATTCGACTCCAAGCTCAGTGTGTAAATTAAACCCGAATACCTAAAGAGAATGAATGGGTAGTGCTACGTTTCAGGAAGACATACCCACCTAAGATCACCTACGGAGTTCGATCACTTGCTCCAAAGGGATGACCGCGATTGCCCGAAAACTTGCGCCTAACCTCAGCACGGTTTGCCCACCAGACTCGTGTAATGCGGCGCGGATGGTAGTGTTCGAAAGATGGTAAGCCCGCAATAAAACGCGACTTTCAAACACCGCCCCATTGCCTTGAGGTTAACGGTTACAATTAGCTGAAGGTTCCGGGTGAGGTTCCCAAAACAAATTACCTGCTTCTGTTCGGCCCACCGGACTCTATTAAGACCACAAACACAGTATGGGCCATTGGTAAAACAACGGTGCAGATTCAGCTGTCTTCAGTGACGAACAAACGCACTCCCATCGCATTACCCACATCACTCTGGTCAGACTGATGTGATAATTGCTGTTATTGACAAGGCTGAAATCAACTTCTTGGGCTGGATTCCAGTAGTCAGTCGACACTGTGCAAAAAAACTAAGACAGTTACGTAAATGAAAGACGACTTGTTTTCATGGTATCGGTAAACACCCGAACTACGACTGATATTCAGTTAACGATAGCTCTGCCCAAGTCGGGGGTGCGTGTCTAGAGTTGCGGTTAATCACCCTTCCCTTGCACCTCGCCGAATGCTCCCATAAGACCAAGCGTCTCGATTAGCCTTTCCTAAAGAAGCCCTACTCACTGCTTTCTCGTGGTGGAGGTGTTTTTCCACCAAACTGAGAGAACGAAAAGCCGACATCCAGGGCTATAACCGGGTTGGTGGACCAATGATAGTTCACCTAGGGGAGCTGCCCAAAAACCTTGATTCCAAACCAACCAAGTGGCGTACGAACCACACTCACCCACACCCTCCTCGATGTAGCAGTGGTCACCGACTCCATTGGACATCGAGGTGTATTGGACACCTTGGACGTTTGACCCCGTCCAAAGGGTGTATGATCCGATGAACTGGAAACCGGCCCCCAATGGATTGCGGTTTTCACACACCACCCCGCTGCCTTGAGGGTCAGGCTTTGGCCAGCCGAAGGCTCCGGTTGTGGATTCCTCAAGAAAATTCACCTGACTTGGCCTGAGCAACCTGACAGCATTCAGCCAACATGCAACTAATGGAGCGTTTTTCTTTTTTATGAGGATTATTTTACCATGATTCGTTTGGCACAGTCTGGTGTCAGGCATGTATGAAATACATAAATATAAATAGATTTCATCAACTCATATAACCTGCATAAAAGGTACGGAAGACAGTTGTCCTGTTACTAGATAGAGATCTAAACCAGATCTAAATGAGCAGCGTCCTTGTACAGGGAACAATTGGAGCGAAGCCTTTTGATCTTAATAACCAACATTTAGACGGGCTATTCAATCCCTGCTCGGATCACTCACTTTCTTTCGAGAACCTCTGATCGACACTGTAACGCGACAGTTATACCATCTTTTCCACAGAACCGGACACCAATAGACCAAATTACTGATGTGCAGACTAGAACACTTGCATGACATCTGACCGCAACCTATTCTGTGCTACATTCTAATTATGTTTCACTGATTTACCTCTGTGTTGATTTGCTGGAGCTGTAAATGGGCGGTTGAAGGAAAAGCCAACGGATGAGCGTATATCTCACCTTATGAGACTGAACTTTGTCTAGTCTCTATCCAGTATTGATTTTATAGGCTACGGCTGTGAGAAACCATTCTACGCAACCCACACGGTCGTGGGCGTACACAAACCATCACACTACGTCAAGGTTCAGTCTCCCGGTGAACCCTCCCATCAATGCCTTGAAGTCGATTGGCCCGAAGGCAGTAACAAAGCTTATAGCTTTTACCGACAAAATATCCCTTCCCCATTTCGTATTCACATGCACCAGTGGTAAACATCACTTACATAGTAGAATTATCGTTTTGTTGGGATGATCTCTTTTCCGGTTGAATTCACATCGGACATCCTCTTGAATAACTCTCCATTCGATATGTACACCATCTTCCTCGAAACATCGAATGATTTTGCCACAGAGCTCGGTGTGAATTGCGGTTCCGCTAACATTTTCAACAGTAGGAGCTTTCGACTGATGCATAGCATTTCCTTGTAACCCTATGGTCATAAATAATTCATTGATCCAGCGTCAAGTCTGTCACGATCTTCAGGTACCACTGCACTGGAAAACTGCGGCGTTGATTCGTTCAATTTTGAAAACTCAGATAGCTTTGCATCACACACAATCAGCTGTTTCCAATTGTCACGTCCTTGTGTTATCTCGGTCTGTTTATTTGCCCTAGCTTGATTGAACGGCACTTTAAAATTCCTCGTCGTGGTGTGGTGATTCGAAGTCATCCAAATTTCCGTGAACAAATTAATTATACAAACTATCTGCTCATAACATAATTAACAGTTAAATTTAAGGGAAAGTAACCGTCCGAATTTTCGCAGTTGTTTGCCCAGCGTAGGGAGAATTGGGCTCGTAACAAGCCGTGGTTTGTATCCACATGTGTTGACCAGTAAGAGCGGCAGTCTTGAATCGACCCTCTCCAGCGGTAACGGATGGCGATGTGGTCGATTTAGGTCCGCGCAGTGAAGAGATTGGCGGTTTCCAGTATCCTTTCTTGTGCGAAAAGTTCGTGTTTGACAGGAACAATCCGTGGTCCGCATAGAGTTGAAGTAGACGATCGTCGTTGTCTGTCCGGTTGGCTGAGATTGCTTGTGGTCCGCCAAGAAGCTTTTCTGATTCTTCCACGGATCCTGCTTGAGCAATGAAGTTTCCGGCGACTACTACGATATCCGTTGATCGAATACTTTGGAGTAGTTGAGAAAGATCCTTGTAGAATTCATCCTGCATTTCAGGTGTACTGCAATCGGTCGGTGCATACACCGATACGATGAATAAGCATCGACGCTTCATTCTGTAGCTGTTGACCCGTGCTGAACCTTTGAGACGTACAGCTCACAGTCGACTACTGACTGGAATCCAGTCAAGAAGCGAGCGCTCAGCCTTGGCACTTGGCGCAATCCCAACACCAGCAACACCGCGAGTTTCGGACGCCGAATCGCCTGATACACGGAGGGTGAAGTGTGAGGTCGAGGTTGGGTTAGGAGAACGCACGGAGATAAGTGAAGTAGGGTTTTGTATGCGTGTTTCGGAGGTACAGCATACACCTAAATTGAAAGTTTCAAGGGTTCTAGCTAAGGCAGCTGATTCACCAATTTGATAGTGTGCGGACATTGAACGCAGGGAATTTTGGCTTAGAAAATCCCGTAACTTCTGATTGCTTGGGTTTGCTGGTAAAACGCTGAGTGATATCCGATGGGTGGCGTAAACAGGAGGCGTCTGTGATTATTCGGGATTAGAAGGAAGAACTAAATAGATCGGAAAGAGGTTTTTCTAAATGGGTGCCTAAGACTTTAGGGTACGACAGACTTCGCGGTAGCCCACACCGACGAAAGAGTTTTTCTTTGGGAACCCTAACCGATGCCTTCAACACAAAAGTCTGACCCACAAGGCAGTGGGGCGAAATCATACGAGGGAAGAGAGTGACCGAAGCACCCGTGTGAGAGCTTATGGAGACACCACTTCAAGGTGCAGTCTCGTGATGAAACAACCGAAGAATCGAATCAAATACTGCAGCAGTGTCAAGAAGAAAATGTAGAAATGACTCAACGGGTTCCTTCAAAATTTAGTGATGGGATGATCAAGGGCGGAGGCTGCATTCAAAATAGATCTAGTTGGTTTATTGGCGAACGCTGATGCGTTACTGGGTGACGAGATACATTTCCAGC